TGGGTATGTCATTTTAGGAGGAAATTGAAAAGAAGGGTGTGATCCTTAAGAGGTTAAGGTAATGGTGAGAGGTTAGCATGTCTTGGGGGTATGATATTTGTGCGTCTAACTTTCTCACTCATCATTATTCACAATTCATTCAGGATTATCCGTAATCATGGTACGGTTCCACATTAATGTAGAAGTGTTTAGAAACATATTCTATTCTTATTTACAATAAAAGTGACTCCAAAAAGACACAATACATTATTTACCATTCATTTCTATTAGGCACAAAATAATCTGAAACACAACCAAAACAAATAGCAAATGCATCCAACAAATGTGTAGAGTCACAAGCTTGATGTAGTCATTGCGTGCTATGAATTTGGGACCAAATACTTAACTTTTTACTTTAATACACATAAAAGTGAATTTTGCTCCCCTAAAATGGGGGGACTATGTACAAAAAGTGGTGTTACTTCTAAATGGTTCACCCAATATGGATAAAAATAACCTCAATTAAAGCTGACAGTCTGCACTTTAACTTCATAGTCATTGTTTGATTTCAAATCCAAACTTTTGGAGTATAGAGCCAAAAGAGGGAAAGATGCTTCATTGTCCCAATAATTATGGATGGCACTGTAATTCATATCATAGGCCTAATAGTACTGTAGAGCTCTTTTTACTTGCAATCAATATAGCTGGGTCGCCCCGTCCTGTCCCTAGGGGTCCACTGCCCTGCAGCGCCCCAATCCAACACACCCCACTCAGCTTTAGGATCTTAGTGAAACATTCATTATTGGTTTCAGGTGTGTTAGGCCAAGGCCAGAGTGCCAACTAACTGTACGGCAGACCCCCAGGGCCAGGACTGACCCGCCCAGCAGCTAGGGATTGCCTAAATAGATATCTCCCCTGACATGGGCATGTTTTCAATACAGACTCCTTTTGTCGTACAGTATTCCATATAAGGCATCCAGACCTTATGAAAGTTGCACAGTATACCCTGAATCTTGTAATAAATCAAATATAGTGATACATAACTTGACTTTTCTGCCATCCATTGTTACATTGTGGGAGGATAACCAACCTTCCAATTAATGGTAATGCATTTCTTATCCGCTATAAATGCTAGGATACACAATTTCTTCTGATAACAATCTCCAGTATCAACATTTCCAAGCAAACAAAAACTGGGAGAAGGGAGAATCTGTAGACATGCTGAGATAAAATAAACATACTCTTTGCCAGAATTCAGCAAGCCTTAACAAGAGCATAACATATGCAAATATGTCCCCTTGTGTTTTACACCTCCAGCAGAGGAATTACATTTCTGAGTGCATGATATTCAGTTTCACTGGCATATAGTAAGTTCTATGGATGGTCTTAAACTGCAGTAATTTATGTCTGAGATTATATGAACATGACTGGGCATTCAAACATATCTGTATCCATTCATTATCATCAATAGTGTCTCCCAGGTCTTCCTCACATTTTTGTTTTACATGTTTTGTGTCATCGAGAAAAGCCTCCATCAACCTTTGATACAGTTTGGAAATCAACTCTAAAGGTTTGTCAGACTGCCTTAAAATAGTTTAAATCTTTGAAGCTTCTGGCTTGTCCAGTGTTTGCTGCACAGAGAGAATAAAGTGTTGCATCTTCCCTGGTTGCCTGACCCTACTGAGACTCCTATCACCAGCCGATCCTGCTAAGATGAGGCATGACAAAGAATTACCTTGGTGTACATTTATATATGATATTATCCATGAATAGAATCAATGGTTCAATAATTGAATGACCATTATTCCCAGATCCCAGACTGTTACTTTTCTGTAGCCCTACCCATCAACTCAAGATGGAACTTTGTGTCCATTCAGTGATTGTTATAATATACTGCAAAATTCACCTGAGCTCCGTAGACTGGTCTCTTTGGCTGTCTGACTCTGCTGGGACACCTGTCACCCTCTGATCCTGCTAACACATTATGAGCATAGTGTTGTGTAGTGTGTACTGACGGTGCACCATTACAGTGACGCCTGTAGAGCTGTATATGCCGTGTCAGTGTGAAAAGTAGGGAATTAGCTAGGGAAACTGTCAGATCAATATCGTTTGAATCAGGTCTAGTGTGATTGAGGCAAAAAATAATAGCAAAAGTTAGTGAGCTAGCTAGCTAACGTTAGCCAACTTTTGGCTAGCTCTAATGGTACAGCAACTGTCGAAAACTAGCCAAGTTAATTTACTTCTGTTGAAACGGGACACAACAAAGGCTACAAAACATTTAAATACACACAACAGCTGTTAGATACTGCTACCTGACAGATACTGAGATAGCTAGAGGCTAGAGCTGAACTGACTGTGGTAGCTACTAGCTAGCTACTGTAACTAGTTCATTCACTTCAGATAGAACTTCAGTAAAGAGGGGATGAAACATTAGTTAACATTAGATGCTTTATTTTTTAATGTTAGCTAAGTCAAACAGCAGTTACCTTGCATCAGTGAAGCCAGTTAAGTAGTAGCCAGTTTCTGCTCTGCTTGCTTTACAACTCAGAGAAAAAGTGCAACACACACAGACAGCAGCTGCCTCTGTTCATCTCTCCCGTGCTGGTCCAATACGCCAGCCTTTCAGAAGCTTTGCCTTCACACAGCCTGTCACCATGCTCTGCAGAAGCGGTCCTAAATCCAGCCGGCTGAAACTGCCAAACAGCCTACACGACCAATCTGAGGCGTCCGCATGGTCCTAAAGCACACCGATACCGCTTTTTGTATCACACTGCAATGATAAAACTGGGGGGGACAAAATGCAATTTCAGAATGTGGGGGGGTCATGCCCCCGTCCCCGTCCCCAGGGAAAGTTGCACCCCTGCCTGTGTTAAACCATGAAGATGTAGAGTGGTCTGAAATGCTTTATGCCCTATAATCAACTCACACTGGCCCACCCACCATACATACACAGATGGCCTTGATGCAGGGAATGGTGGATGGTTGGAGAAAGACATTCTGGCGGTGTTGTATCCACTTGTGTGGTCCGTGTGCGTGCATATCTGTGTATGAGAGAGAGACAGAGACGAAAAGATGAAACAATCCATGTTTGGCATTGAAGTTGTTGCTGGTGAGCCCAGTCCATAACAAAAAGTGATTTTGCCTTTCTGATAATGTATCAATAATAAAAATGTTAACTTTTACCCCCCACACCCAGAATCTTTTTGGGTTGCCTAAGGGTAACGCTGTACCATAAGGGTACTAAAACACCACGGAAAACCGGGGGCAAAAAGGTTTTCTGTTTTCTAGAGGGTTAAATAATTGGATTCTGCATTCTGCAGGCTTCTGCAGAATGAAGGAAGAGCAAGGCTACTCAGTCAGCACTAGTTTTAAGAAACACTTATGCAGTTGCATGACAACAGTTCGTTCCGTGACACTTTACTCAGTTGCGTGGCAATGCTAGGGTGAAAGTTCCGATGATAATAGTGTTCTTTTGATAAAACATTTCAGACATCGACCTTTGACCCCTTCAAAGCAACTCAAGAGGTCAATTCACATCACAGTCAAACTGTTATTTTGATGTGATGCAAATTAAATAATCGTGTGAAATACTGCTCCATTAAATTAATTGTGTAGTCAGGAGTACATACAACACAATCTATGCAGAGCCGTTGTTCAGCTGTTGTTGGTTGCATGTATTTATGGAATAGGATTGTGGTTTAGGGTAACAGTGAACTCAATCCTGATAAATGAATAACGCTGGGTGCCACCTACAGCAAGCTCATGTATCATCTATGTTCTTAATGCAGTGTTTATGAGCTCAACTCTGTACACCCCCACTCATGTTCACTTCCCCTCTCTCTCAATTTGTCTCTCAATTTGTCACTCACTCTGCCCCCCACCCCACTCTCTCTCTCTCAATTCAATTTCAATTTCAATGTAAGTATGTTTACATTGCCAAAGCAAGTGAAATAGATAATGAACAAAAGTGAATTAAACAAAAAATTTTAATAACAGTAAATATTACACTCACAAAAGTTCCAAAATAATGAAGACATTTCAAATGTCATATTATGTGCAAATAGTTAAGTACAATGGGGAAATAAATCAACATAAATATTAAGAACATAGATGATGCATGAGCTTGCTGTAGGTGGCACCCAGCGTTATTCATTTATCAGGATTGAGTTCACTGTTACCCTAAACCACAATCCTATTCCATAAATACATGCAACCAACAACAGCTGAACAACGGCTCTGCATAGATTGTGTTGTATGTACTCCTGACTACAATGGTTTTTGTTCTTCACTGTCTCTCTCTCTCTCTGCCCCTCTCTATGTCCCTCTCTGTCCCTCTCTGTCCCTATCTCTGTCGCTCTCTCTCTCTGTCTGCCTCTCTCTCTCTCTCGCTGTGTCCCCCCCCCTTCCTATCTGCTTTGCTGATATGATAGATTTCATGCAGCAGATTATGGGACCATCACACATGACTGATAACAAAGTAATCAGCTCGTTCTCTCTCTCGCTCTCTCTTTCTCTCTTTCTCTCTCTCTCTCTCTCTCACTCAAACACACACACAAACACATTAATCAAATTGACATTGACATTGATTATGAGAAGGGATTTGAAGTCAGAAATACGGTAGGTTATTGTAATTCATTAGGAAGAACTAAAGTCAAAGCTTGTGCTCTCCATCTTGTTTCCTTTCTGCATCATTACAATGAATAAGTGATCCGGCTAGCCTGGTAAGAGGCAGTGGGTTAGCTGACGCTAAGTGCCTCCACACTTGACACACACACACACACAAACACACACACAAACACACATACACATACACACACCCGACCCTTCTCTCTCTAAGAAATTGAGAGTGTGTTATCAGACGAACCCTGCCCATTAGTTTCACACGTAAACAGGCTGTATATAAAGGGTTGGGCCCATATAATCTGTCTCTACCTCTTGCAGTGTGTGTGTGTGTGTATGAGCAAATTCCCCATAGACAGATACAGGGCATATACAGTAACACAAACCCGGCCGGTGCCAAGATGCCTGCAGACTTCAATGGACAATGGGTGATGGTCACCAATGAGAACTTTGAGGATATCATGAAGGCCATTGGTAAGCTGTTCTTCTAATGTCTGTTGGAAAGTAGAGACACGAGATAGGGGTGGAGAGGAGAGAGGGAATTGACAGAGAAAGAGTGTGTTGTGTGCGTGTGCGTGTATATGTCTATGTGTGTGTGTGTGCACAAGTGTGTCTGATAGAGAGGGGGATGTCAGAGACAATGCTTGTGTAAAGACTTTATTTGAGCATGTTAGTGAGTGAGATTGTGAGAGGGACAGAGAGAGAGGGAAAGAGAGAGAAAGGATGATGTGGTGCTGCTTCATTTACTTATTGAGCTTCTGTCATGGCGACTTAACCTCAACTGTTTGTGTGAATGGCTCCTGCTTGTTACCACGTCGAACAAATATTGATTTACTCTTTTAAGCATTTTTATCCTCCCCATTCAGGAGAATAAAAAATCCCATCCCGAGCTCTGCCAAGAGGCGTCTGCATATCGCTGGCAAGTGAAGGCCCCCATCCATCCACTTAGCATGGCATTGATAAACCACAAGTCTTTTATTATTCATGACTTTATCTCCAATTCATAACTCCCTCTGTGTCATAACTCCCTCTGTGTCATAACTGCCTCCTTGTCATAACTCCCTCCCGCTCAACCCAACAAATCCAAAAAATCCAAAATCCGAGGCGTCTCATTCCGTGCCACTCTATTATTTCCATGAGCGGATCGAAAATTACACCCATATGGAAACAGAGGGAGGGAGAACATATTTGGATGGGTAAATAAAAGAGCTTCATCAAAAAGAGAGATTGGTAGAAATTGAATTTACACTTTGTGGCCAATGCTATGTGAATATCAAAATGGAAGAGGCAGTCTCTTTTGCAGGCTCACAGTTTAACTTATTCAGGCCATTTTAAAAAGGGTAAATGAGATTATCAACAGAGCTGGTCTGAGTGGAATAGTAATTCTAGGACTTGAGTTGCAGTCTCATAACTGAAGAGGGGGACTGGTGGCTTATGCACAAGGAAACACAATAAAAATATATACTATACATAACTCACTGCCCAACCAAGGTGAACAGAATCTATATGAAATTATAAACTGGGTGGTTCGAGCCCTGAATGCTGATTCTCTGAAAGCCGTGCTATATCAGAACGTATACCACGGGTATGACAAAACATTACTTTTTACTCTTCCAATTACGTTGGTAACGTAATAGCAATAAGGCACCTCTGGGGTTTGTGATATATGGCCAATATACCACAGCTGAGGGCTGTGTCCAGGCGTTGCGTCGTGCATAAGAACAGCCCTTAGCCGTGGTATATTGGCCATTTACCACACCCCCTCAGGCCTTATTGCTTAAACATACTTCATCCTTATCCTGTTACAGTATCCACTGAGTGTCCAAGACATTAGGAACACCTTCCTAGAACAGCCTCAATTGGTCGGGGCATGGACTCTACAAGGTGGCCAAAGCGTTCCACATGGATGCTGGCCCATGTTGACTCCAATGCTTCCCACAGTTGTGTCATGTTGGCTGGATGTCTTTCGGGTGGTAGACCATTCTGAAAAACCCAGCAGCGGTGCGCCTACTACCATACCCCGTTCAAAGGCATTTAAGTATTTTGTTTTGCCCATTCACCCTCTGAATGGCACACATACACAATCCATGTCTCAAGGCTTAAAAACCCTGTTTTAACCTGTCTCCTCCCCTTCATCTACACTGATTGAAGTGGATTTAACAGGTGACATCAATAAGGGATCATAGCTTTCACCTGGTCAGTCTATGTCATGGAAAGAGCAGAACATCTTTACACGTTGACATTGTTGTTTCACTGTTTTTCCTCCAGATATTGACTTTGCCACCCGTAAGATCGCCGCCCACCTGACCCAGACTAAGGTGATCGTCCAGAACGGAGACAAGTTTGAGACCAAGACGTTGAGCACCTTCAGGAACTACGAGGTCAACTTCACGATCGGGGAGGAGTTTGAGGAGGTCACTAAGGGACTGGACAACAGGACGATCCAGGTAGGACCACAACCACTATGACCACGTCAGAGAGACACTCTGTCACTGCACTCTGTCCTAACTGGTTCCAAACCCTAACCTTTACCCTCTCCATCATGTTCTCTCCTTTTAGTCTATTCCACCATTTTTTATTTACATTTTTTATTGGTTTTCGTCTCCTGCTTTCCCTTGACTCTCAGTTTGTTAATGCATTCAGTATGGTCACATAGCCCTCACACACATAGCCCACAATCCAAGCATCTTAAAAAGTTTGGTTCAGTCTTGTTGACCCTGGATTTATGGAAACATACACACATCTTCAGCCTGGACTCAGGGTTACATTTACATTTTACAATTTAGTAATTTAGCAGACGCTCTTATCCAGAGCGACTTACAGTTAGTGAGTGCATACATTTTTCATACTGGCCCCCCCCACAACCCTGGCGTTGCAAGCGCCATGTTCTACCAACTGAGCTACAGGAGGTTAGACGTAACATAGTAAATGAAAATCTGGGACACTCAAATTAGTGTGATATGTTACATTTGGCATGGTATGTATTAATTTGCATCATCCACCTCGTATGATATGTTACGAATTACAATTAGAACACACAGCCTTTGGGTTGCGAGACGTTCACGTCATTCATCCCGACCAACTACCCTCCTTTCGTTTTTGCCTTAAACAACCTTCTGTCTTATGCAACCATACCAAAAGTCAAATATAGTAATTTGAGTGACCCGGATTTTCGTTTACTATGTTACGTCTATGATACCAGCCTGATATCTTAGATGTGGGACATTTGGGTAAATGTGTGTCTACGGTAAGCTGACTGTGTGTGTTCTTCAGACACTGGTTACCTGGGATGGAGACAAGTTGGTGGCTGTGCAGACGGGAGAGAAGGCCAATCGTGGCTGGAAGCAATGGATAGAAGGAGACCTGCTACACCTGGTGAGAGAGAAAGATGGGGGGAGGGGGTTAGAGACAGAAAAGAGAGTGAGAGAAATGTCCTAGACTTCAACTTGAACATACATATACATATTCTTCATACCTAAGACAACAGAAGCGCTATACATTTAGTACATTTCTGAGGAGAGAGATAAAGAGACAAACAGCTATCAATCCTTCAGCTTTTATACATATCCTCATTCAGACTTACACTCTGGACTTTTTAATTATATTAAAGTGAGAAGGTGTACTTCTGTATGTCAATCAGTACAGTGGAAGTGGAAGTTATAAAGTCAATCTTGATTTCCAACTCTGAGAAAGAGAAGTGAAAATATAATCCCTTTAGGGCTTCATGCCAAATGGCACCCTATGCCCTCTATAGTGCCCTACTTTTGACCAGAAGTGCACTATATAGGGCACATGTGTCAAACCTATTCTATTAAGGGCCGAGTGTCTGCAGGTTTTCGCTCCACCCTTGTACTTGATTGATGAATTAAGGTCACTAATTAGTAAGGAACTCCCCTCACCTGGTTGTCTAGGTCTTAATTGAAAGGAAAAACCAACAACCCGCAGGCACTCGGCCCTCCGTGGAATGAGTTTGACACCCCTGATAGAGGGAATAGGGTGCCAATTCGGATACAGACCAGATGTTATTTGATTGTCTCATTGTCTTTCTATCCGTCTCTTCTTCTTTCAGGAGATCCACGTTGAAGACAAAGTCTGCAAACAAGTATTCAAGAAGAAACCCTAAAACATCTGACATAACCTTCTTTATTGTAACATTACCTACATGTGTTTCTGCCTGCATAATGATGTTATGTATTTATGATGTGATTGTACATACATTTAATAAATACTTAATTCAACCCAAGCAGATGGGATGCATTGACTTTGGTCTATAAATTAAATGAATATTTATATGGGTGTATATTGACCAGAGTTAACAGTACCTGCAAATAAACACAAACAATATTAACTTATAAAAACATAACATACCCTCTCAAATTAGCGTGTCATTGTAAGAGAACAGAACTACACTACCAGTCAAAGGTTTTAGAACACCTACTCATTCAAGGGTTTTTCTTGAAATCATGTAGTAACCAAAAAAGTGTTAAACATATCAAAATATATTTTATATTTGAGATTCTTCAAATAGCCACCCTTTGCCTTGATGACAGCTTTGCACACTCTTGGCATTCTCTTGACTAGCTTCACCTGGAATGCTTTTCCAACAGTCTTGAAGGAGTTCCCACATATGCTGACCACTTGTTGGCTGCTTTTTCTTCACTCTACGGTCTAACTAATTCCAAACCATCTCAATTTGGTTGAGGTCGGGGGATTGTGGAGGCCAGGTCATCTGATGCAGCACTCCATTACTCTCCTTCTTGGTAAAATAGCCCTTACACAGCCTGGAGGTGTGTTGGGTCATTGTCCTGTTGAAAAACAAATGATAGTCCCACTATGCCCAAACCAGATGGGAGGGCGTATTGCAGCAAAATGCTGTGGTAGCCATGCTGGTTAAGTGTGCCTTGAATTCTAAATAAATCACAGACAGTGTCACCGGCAAATCACCCCCACACCATAACACCTCCTCCTCCATGCTTTACGGTGGGAAATACACACACGGAGATCATCCGTTCACCCACACCGCGTCTCACAAAGACATGGCGGTTGGAACCAAAAATCTCAAATTTGGACTCCAGACCAAAGGACAGATTTCCACCGGTCTAATGTCCATTGCTCGTGTTTCTTGGCCCAAGCAAGTCTCTTGTTCTCATGGTGTCCTTTAGTAGCGGTTTCTTTGCAGCAATTCGACCATGAAGGCCTGATTCACACAGTCTCCTCTGAACAGTTGATGTTGAGATGTGTCTGTTACTTGAACTCTGTGAAGCATTTATTTGGGATACAATTTCTGAGGCTGGTAACTCTAATGAACTTATCCTCTGCACCAGAGGTAACTCTGGGTCTTCCATTCCTGTGGCGGTCCTCATGAGAGCCAGTTTCATCATAGCGCTTGATGATTTTTGTGACTGTACTTGAATAAACTTTCAAAGTTCTTGAAATTCTCCGTATTGACTGACCTTCATGTCTTAAAGTAATGATGGACTGTTGTTTCTCTTTGCTTATTTGAGCTGTTCTTGCCATAATATGGACATGGTATTTTACCAAGTAGGGCTATCTTCTGTATATATTCTGTTTTGATATCTTCACTATTATTCTACAATGTAGAAAATAGTAAAAATAAAGAAAAACCCTTGAATGAGTAGGTGTTCTAAAACTTTTGACCGGTGGTGTATGTGTTGTCGTATATGATGAATGGTGGTAATATTGCTGATGAACAAAAAGTCCGTTATGCTGCATCGTGTCAGAAGTTTTTATTCATACCACGAGGTTACAGCATAAATTCACAGACACGCGTTGCCTGGAGAACGCCTCCCAGATTGTTATGGCCGTTCTGTCGTCTCATCGTTTAACTCCTATTTATAAACAATGCAAAGGGAGGGGCTACTCCCTCTTCTGGCCAATCACCAGTCTCCCCTCGGGCGTCACCCTCCAAGCGGCACATTTCAAATAACATCATAAAACATCCCCCCTTTGGCCTGAACAACCAACATTCCATTTCGTCATGAAAAACATTTAACAAAGGCATAATCTTCAGATACGATATTCCCCCCTTTCGAGACGAAATAAACGTCTCGAAAACAAACAGAATAAGATTATGACTATTAACCATTTATCTCATTGAATATTCTTAACCTTAAACCCAAAAACATTCTCCTCTAGAGTGTAAATACCTTTCTATGAAATACCTGTTTATGAAGTGTGAATACATTACTATGACCCATGAAGAAATCTCTATGGAGTATAAATACATTACTATGACATATGAACAACTGTTTCTGAAGTATGAACACATTACTATGAATTATGAAGAAATCTCTATGGAGTGTGAGAGCGAAAAACTGTCCAGCAGCCATCCATCCATATCAATCAAGACAGTAAAATTCTCTCACCGTCCCTCTGCCCCAGGCAACCACCGTCGGTACTCCAGATAACCTCATAACTCATGTAAATGCATTTAAACTATGATGTAATTAAATACCCATGTAAACAAAATCCTATCCATAAATATCCACTCTCAGGCTGGTCAACCCATAGGACCTGAAAGGGAATCTCTCCCTGCGTAAACATCCTTTCCCTAACCCCATCGAAATAAACAAAAGCATCTAAGATCCTCATCTGCATTCAATAACATCAAACATCATTCTACTAAAATCAATACCTAAGAATATGACACAATTATGTATTACACATCAAATATGTCTATATTTCATTGCAGACACTGGAATGTAGTCCACTACACTTCATCTCCTCCGTAGTCTCGACTTCCAATTGACTTGTTAATGATGAAATCGGCCACACCCTCCTTGTTTCATCTCCTCCAGTCATATTGTCCCTTCATATTGTCTTTGTTTGAGTATTCCAATCTCCACATGTTCTCCCAAATGCCTCTGGAAGAAAAAGAAAAAGACCAAACAGTATCCTTTCCAAAAAAACACTTTCAAATTAAACATCACTATCCACTAAGACTATAAAACTGATATATAAATGATGCATGAATCACATAAACCCATTCCCCCCTTGATTCATAAATCATACTAAAAATCACACTAATATTGAAAAAAACATTGTAAAATGATCAAATAATCAAAAAGGATATTTATCCATCAGTAGTCCATCTAGACCCCCTCGTCCATCTTCGTCCAGATCAGGAACAATCAACAACGGCATCTGAGTGTTGTCTCCAGGCATCACAACACCAACCCATCTTAATATCATAGCTTTTGCAAAGGTCAGTAACAAAGTACAAAAGCAAAACATGACACACAACGCTATCAGAGCTGCGACTAAAATCTGAACCATCACTGCTCCTATTGGGCCTAACTGATCTTGCAACCAAGACTTCGCCGACCATCCAGCTTTCTCAGATCTTCCAAATGCATCCCTGATATTCTTCAAAGCATCTATAACACTTGTGATATTATCGGAACTATCTGGGATCAAAGTATAACAATCATCCCCCGTCAGATTCATAGCCAAACATAAGCCACCTTGTCTTGCCAAAATATAATCAAGAGCCATGTCATGTTTCAACAACGTCAGTCTGTGACTTCTTTGAGCATTTGACAGAAGGTGAAACCCTCTTATTGTTTCATTTGCAAAGCCCTGCAACGTATATGTAATATTATCAATATGATCTGCTAAGAATGTTACACCATACCATGGAAAAAGACCAAGTCCCCACTTCTCTCCCAGACTTATTCTCCAATGGTAGGCTTCAAGATTAGTAAATTTAGCCATTTCTCTTTTAACCCTATTTTCACCAGTAGTTTCAGATTGATCTGGATTCGGTGCTACTCCTCTCCTAATTGTAAAAACCTCATATGGCAACTTCAATGTTGACATGTAACAACATCCTATCCCCCATAGGGTAAGAATATACTCTATCATAATTCCCCTTATTGTCAAGGGTGTTGAAATGGTGTGGTGTGGAATCAGGCGCAGAAGCAGAGGTACAGTCCAACAAGACTTTACTTGAGCAAAATAATCCGAAAAGCGGCCTGAGGCCAAACAGACGCTCACAGGCGTCACACACGAGCGCACAAAACACAGAGCGCAAAACTCTCCTCAACCGAGGAGGAAGCCAATAGATAAGGCGTACCGAAAACACAGGTTACGCACATACACCTGACACGAAACAATTACACACAACACTATACACACAAACAGGGAACTAAATAGGGTGCATAATGATACCTAACACAAAACAGGTGTGGCTGACAGACACAACTAATCAAACAGGAAACACAGAACATAGAACGGTAGCAGCTAGAATTCCGGAGACGACGAACGCCGAAGCCTGCCCGAACAAGGGAGAGAGGCCGCCTCGGCCGAAACCGTGACAGTACCCCCCCCTTGACGCGCGGCTCCAGACGCGCGCCGACTCCGGCCTTGGGGACGACCCGGAGGCCGCGGCGCAGGGCGCGTCGGATACCCCCGATGGAATTCCGTCAGGAGCGACGGGTCCAAAATGTCTCTCCTCGGCACCCAGCACCGCTCCTCCGGACCGTACCCCTCCCACTCCACCAGATACTGAAGACCCCCCCTCCGACGTCTAGAATCCAGGATGGATCTTACAGTGTACGCCGGTGCCCCCTCGATGTCCAACGGGGGCGGGGGAGTCTCCAAGATCTCATGTTCTTGAAGTGGGCCCGCTACCACCGGCCTGAGAAGGGACACATGGAACGAGGGGTTAATACATTTATACTCAACTGGCAACTGTAATCTATAACAAACCTCGTTCAACCTTCTCAGGACTTTAAATGGCCCTACAAACCGCCGACCCAGTTTCCGACAGGGCAGGCGGAGGGGCAGGTTTCTGGCAGAGAGCCAGACTCGATCTCCAGGTGCGTACACAGGCCCCTCACTGCGGTGTAGGTCGGCGCTCGTCTTCTGTCGACGTATGGCACGCTGCAGATGGACGTGTGCAGCGTTCCACGTCTCCTCCGAGCGCCGCACCCACTCATCCACAGCGGGGGCCTCGATCTGGCTCTCATGCCATGGTGCCAGAAACCGGCTGGTACCCTAAAACACACTGAAAAGGGGTTAGTTGGGTGGAGGAGTGGCGGAGAGAGTTCTGTGCCATCTCGGCCCAGGGCACATATCTCGCCCACTCCTCCGGCCGGTCCC